TGATCTCGTCTATAAGGTGTCTACATTTCAACGTTTGCAACTGCACATCTATGTTGCGTCTAGATTATGCTACGTATTAGACGAAGGACTATTTTCCTTTCCCTGTCTAAAAATTAAAATACATGTCAATACATGAATTATTTTCGGTTTGATTTTTTTAAAGAATATGTCAAATCCTTCACATGTGAAAGCCATTTTGTCGAACCGCATACATATATTCAAGGGCTATTAAACGTATTGGCTAAGATGTAAAAAATAACACTAACTAATCTACATCTAATAGAGGGTACTCGGTAGATGATGACATTGAATAGACAAGTTATACCATCTATAGACGTCTATTAGACTAGCCTGTGTTTCATGGGTGAGAATATAATGGAAACACTGTCAATAGTGTCGATTCTTGAACTGAGAAGAATGAGAATTTGCTTTCCTCCTATTTACCGCAAAGAGAGTTCGGTGATCACAACCAATGCGGGTGCAAGGGGATTTGTCGCGCTTTCTTCCATAAGCGTTATACCGCTTCTTATAGTGTTTTTATTCAATGGTTAAACTTAGTGCAATATTTTGAGAAGGGGAAAGAAAACCCGTTCGTCTCGCGACAGTAATCACTTGGCTGCTACGCACATGCGTATTACACCTTCCCATTAATGCACAAAACTTTAAATTTAAATTTAGAAATGTGAATAAAGAAATACCGTTCTGCGCATGTGCGTAGCAGCCAAGTGATTACTGTCGCGAGCCGTTCTTAAGAAAACGGTGATCCATTGAAACCCGTATCTGCTGTTCAAGAAGTAAGTGTGATTATATATACTTATATTTTCATTTAGTACAAACACAAAATTATAGCGAGTGGCCAACGCTTTGGGTATATCTGAGAGGACGGTGCGAAGCATCAAGACAAGAGCGGCATCTAACCCTGTTTTGGAAAGCCCGTGTAAGAAACGGCCCCGCAAGTTTCGTTAAAACATTTCTACACACGTTCTATACTGCGTAGGGTAGAAGGAGGATCAACATCAGAATCCAGTTGAGAGGCTGCTTATTTCTCATTTCTGATTCCTAGTAATCTAACTGTTAAAAATGTAAAAAAAAGTATAAATATGAAATAGAAGTACAGTGATAGTGACAGCGTCGTATATTATAATATATTTTGAACATAATTAATATCCATTTAGTGTATCATTTTGAATTTATCCTTATTGTAAGCCATCATAAGTAACAGTGAGTAACTTTGAAACGTGGTAGTCTTGCAAAATGTGCAGCTGGGTGTATGGAAATCGTATAACCTATAAATTGAATACTCTAATTGTGAATTTATAATTCTTTATCGGCAAACTCACTTATGAATGCAAGACCCGACCATTGTAATAATTTTGACGTAGCGTAATTACTAATGTTCACATTTTTGGAAAAATTCCATTGTAATGAGGCAGCTTACAAAAATGGGTTTATCTTACCGGCCTGTAAAAATAACGCATTAATGACCTGTTAGATTACAAGGATTTTGTTTTCTCACCGTCTTTATTACGTGAATAACGAAACTACGATATTTTATACCAATTAAAAACCCAAATCGACTAACGATACTTTCTGCGATTTGACAGTTTTGCACCTTCAAATAAACATCCAATAAATGACAGCTGTCGCCATCTCGGAGTATATTTTCTAATCAAGTTGGCATTATTACAGAGGTAATTTGACTTATATTTTTCATATTAAACCATACGATTGTGAACTATGACGTACCGGCAATCTCTAATGGCGAGGATAATATCTATGGTGGGGAAAAGCTGCCTGCGCCACCTAGAAAGCACGAACGGGGGTTACGTTTGGCATCTTGTCTTGAATGGCGGTCGTGAACGCGTCGCTCCATAAATGTTTGTTGTTATTTTGTGTTATTTAATGCAGGTAGTAATTTTTGCATTTCTTTATATCGTATTTGTGTTTTGTTTGCCGCATTTTATATTTTTTGTGTGTTTCAATATTTGTTTTTGAAATTTACTTGGTTTAACCGCAATGCAATCATATGTGTGATACCGTTATGCTATTGTTTGTAATTGTTTACATTTTTGGTGTAATGTGTAGTGTACTTAACCCCCCAGGTCATACGCTAACTTCACACTACAAGAACACGGAAATAAAATAAACCCGGCAACGTTTAAAAATGGCCACCTGAATGACAATTCTCTATAAAACTAAACAAGATCCCGCTTAAATTTGAAAAGTGGCGCGTGATAAACATCTAAGGCAGGGCCCCCTTACGTTAGTTATAGACAACGCTTTGACCTGAAGCACAGTAGGGAAGGAACGTTAAATAAAACACTGAAATTGTGAAAAGTTTGTTTAATAATGATCGTAATTATTATGATTGTGAACACCCGGAAATTTAGTTGATGTACATTAATATAAACAAAACAAACAAAGCCAAAAGGTGTCGTACTCTCGCAAAAGTCACTGCCAAGGGTAAAAAGAGTACGACGTAAGAAAAACCTTGCAGTTTGATTAAAATAGTTCAAAAGTTAATTAACAAAATATTTTGTAAAAGTTTAAGCAGTAGTTAACAAAGATAGTAAATGCATAGGTATACACAATGTTGGTTACACTCAAGGTTAAAGCAAGTTTTTGGGGACAATGGGTCAGGTAGAAGCAGGTACCAAGATTCTGAGAAAGGGTGAAATACACAGGATGTGACTCATCTTTGGTGCAATAAAGTCCTTTGTTGAAAGCAAGATGGAAAATTACATGGCCTTGTAGGCAAATTTGACTAAAAACAAAATATGTGGAAATTATTGAATCGCCACTCATTTAACGCACATAGATTCTAAACTGAAGAGCTTTGATTAGCGTAATCTCGCTCCTGCAAGATGGGTAGTCCGCCCCTGGTTTCGGGGTTTCGAACCTACAGTTGGATGTCGAAGACAGTGCACGGAATTAGGTGCCCTAACACATAATTATAGACTACAGTTTCTTTTTCCACCTTCCCGAGACTGCTTCATTCACGGAGAAAATTGTTAGTAACAAACAACAAGTCAGTACATACATCAAACGAATCAGCAATTTCCACATACCTATTAAAATAAAATGAAAACCTACATGAATGTAACTTCAAGGACAAGACCAAGTAATCAACATCAATAAACATAAATTAAGCAAACATTACACCAAAAATATAAACAATTACAAACAATAGCATAACGGTATCACACATATGATTGCATTGCGGTTAAACCAAGTAAATTTCAAAAACAAATATTGAAACACACACAAAAAATATATAAAAGGCGGCAAACAAATCACAAATACGTAAATGTAAATGTATGTATCGTCGTAAGCTGTATATACAGGGTGGAACCTTTCAAATGTTTGCTTAATTTATGTCTATTGATGTTGATTACTTGGTCTTGTCCCTGTGAAGTTACATATTCATATAAGTTTGGATCATTTTATTTTAATATGTGGAAATTACCGATTCGTTTAATGTATGTACTGACTTGTTGTTTGTTACTAACAATTTTCTCCGTGAATGAAGCAGTCACGGGGGTGGTTAAAACTGTAGTCAAATTTGTGTTACGACACCTAATTCCGTGATTGTCTTCGACATCCAACTGTAGGTTCGAAACCCCGAAACCAGGGGCGGGTTACCTATCTTGCCGGAGCGGGATTATGCTAATCAAAGCTCTTCAATTTAGAATCTATGTGCGATAAATGAGTTACGATTCAGTAATTTCCACATATCTTGTTTTTAGTTTTTTTTGCCTACAAGGCCATGCAATTTTCCATCTTGCTTTCAACAAAAGGACTATTGCACCAAAGATGAGTCACATCTTGTGTATTTCACCCTTTCTCAGAATTTTGGTACCTGTTACTACCTGACCCATTGCCCCCAAAAACTTGCTTTTAACCTTGAGTGTAACCAACATTGTGTATATGCATTTACTATCTTTGTTAACTACTGCTTAAACTTTTACAAAATATTTTGTTAATTAACTTTTGGACTGTTTTAATCAAACTGCAAGGTTTTTCTTTGTCGTACTGTTTTTACCCTTGGCAGTTACTTTTGCGAGAGTACGACTCCTTTTGGCTTTGCTTGCTTTGTTTACATTAATGTACATCAACTAAATTTCTGGGTTTTCACAATCTTAATTACGATCATTATTAAACAAACTTTTCACAATTACAGTGTTTTATTTAACGTTCCTTCCCTACTGTTCTTCAGGTCAAAGCGTTGTCTACAACTAACGTAAGGGGGCTCTGCCTTATATGTTTTATCACGTGCCACTTTTCAAATTTAAGCGGGATCTTGTTTAATTTTAGAGGGAATAGTCATTCGGGGGGAGGGGGGGGGCCATTTTTAAACGTTGCCGGGTTGACTTTATTTCCGTGTTCTTGTAGTGTGAAGTTAGCGTAGAACCTGGGGGTTAAGTACACTACAACAATATGGGCCTCGAAGTAGGTGGCAGGTGATGCCAGGAGGAAGAAGAAACTAATCTGTGTCACCGCTCAGGAATGCTACAGGATGCTGCGCCCATTATAGGATTCTAGATTAATAATAATATTGAGCATTCTACGGAGCCGAGACTAAAATGAGGGACAGGGCTGTATGTGAGGGTATATACAGGGAGACAGATAGACAGACAAACGAAGAAAACCATTACATTTTTGGATAGAAAAAAAATTCCCCTAAAAACTCATGGATGTGTAGAGAAAATAAAAAAAAGTTTTCGTACTAGCACAATTGTGACCTCCCTCACCCCGCCGACTTCATCTAGCGTACCTATACGCTAACTAATTTGAACAACACTAGTCCCCTGACTAAGGCATGGAAACAACAAACATGAAGACCAAGAGAAGCCAACCTTGTTGCTGAAAACGGACAGGACTGAATTAAAAAAAATAAAAATGGTTTTCTCTCTTTTAATAAAGTAAAAATAATACACAATAAATAATCTACATGTATGTTACAATGAGTAGTACATTTATGAAGATACAATTAAAAGAAATAATAAATTTGTATAAAATATTTAGATAATGAATCTATTCATCATAGAAAGTCAACAGTTAATTAAAATATCATCATGGTAACTATTAAATAAGAAACTGTAAGACTAGTTTAACATTTAAATGACTTCTTCGTTCACAATGACGATTATGAAGACTAAAAAATTAAGAATTAGCCTGCACCATATTGATGGCTACAGAGAGAGTTTACTAGAAAAGGTACATGTATGTTATAAAATATCATAAAAATACTGAATATGTCGTATGTATTTTCTCAGGCAAAAGCTAAAAATGATATCGTTACATAAATCTATCGCACTGTATATACATCTGCTCACAAAATACAGACAAACAGTAAACTATTTACATACCATTTTCTAAGTTATGTGGCACATAGCGTTAGAAAGCAACAAATAATTTAAAATATTTAAATCACAATCAAATATTACACCTCAACAAACTAAAACGTTGTTGCAACAAAAACTTACCACCTTATGACAATATCACGCGAGACCGGAATCAATGTGAGTCCGTCTTTTCGAATCTGACCTTTGTAAACCGTGATCGGGCGTTGACTTTAAAATATCCGGCTGACTTTGACTGACAATCGCCTGATTGATGATCGATTGGTTCACGACCGATTGATTTACGGAGACCATTGTGCCCCTACTTAACGTGCCTAAAAGAGGGGTGCCCGGGTTTTGTATGAGGAGATTCATATAGTCCGCAATTAGAAGCGTTAATTCTAATATTTTCGGTTTACTCAACGAAAAGATTAACTTCTGCGACGGCTGCTGATCGTTTTGCGTTACCACTAACATAAAATCTTCCTGGCAACCGCCGAAAGTCAAGACGTTCGTATAGGGATAACGAACGCATTGTTGCATCGTTGCTAAATCTAGTACGGTAATTGAGTCTTCATTCACAGCCAACCATATCATAGGGGAGTCGTGCTGACGCAGTCTTGCCTGTAACGCAAATTAAACATAAAAAAGTAGGTAGACACAAAGATTAGAGTCTATATACCACCTCTACGACTACAATAAAAAAATCATGACGGAGAAGACAATTAATGCCATACAAAGCGCTCTCCATAGATTATATGGTTAACTGAATCGAACTATCTTGGACTTGACTCTGCGCAAGATCTCAAGGTCAAAGTGACAAAAAATCGGCCTGTCCTGGCATGGTCAAAACCGACGCAATGCAAGTGAAGAGACTCCCACTACTCTCTATGAATGTTTAGCGCACTCAACCAGTCAAAGCAATCCATATTAAAGGGCATCCTGGTCTGGAGTGACCAAGATTACAGCCTCAATTTGTCTCAACTATGGGATATATGGCTTGGGTGATGTAAAGCAAGCGGGCCACTCTAAAGGAGAGTAACACTAAAGCATTGAAGAATTATAAGTTCAATTGTAATTCTCAACTTCAACGGAAGAGTAACACAAACCGGCGAGACACCTGACAGATGTTTCAATTGTGAGTCCGAGGGACATTATGCCAATGAATGTCCATCTCCGAAAAATTATAGTGCATGTTTCAAATGCAAACAACCGAGTCATGCAAAGGACAACTGCACCACTCAGAAATAGACGTCTCAGAAATAGATGTTTCGCTGAAAATACAACGCCAAAGGCGAGCACTTCCAGCAGACACAGGATCCTATAAGATTGCATACGCTAGAGTGGACGGGGCAAACTGGTAGGTATTCAGGGAGTGCGACGAATTTCCATTTAAAGAACAGAACAATAAACAGCCTCGTCAACCTTCCCTTCAAGTTTAATTAGTAATCCACCGCCAGGAGGCGCTAAAATAATAAAATTATCTTACCTGGAACAGAGTAGCTCCAAAGAAAGGCCATTTTCTGGTGCAAGTTAAATAAATCCTAACACAGTCGAGTTGCGTCCGCCCTTTCAGCGCGCGCCACTTCTCCAACAGTTTCGCCTGCAAATCGGCGAGCGCCTCCTGACTCAACTGATCTCTGTACCTATACGGGTAGAACTTATCTATCGCACTTAACGCTTGATTCGAGTGCGCGGTAAGAATGTGATGTACACTATTTAAAGCGGTCAGCGTGCTCGAATTTTGCAGCAGGTTGCTAGGGCTAAGAGTTCCGTGAAGGCTCGATCCGTTTAACGTACTATTCGGACTTTGATGTGCGCTGAGCGATTGCAGGTGGGTACTCGTGGGTTGGGCGTGTGCACTTTGTGCCGTGTGTAAGTTTAAAGTGTTGTTAATGCTAGTGTTTTTATGCGAGCCGAAACTGCAATCTCCGGTATCTAGTTGGACCATGAGAGCGGCAAGCTCCAATGCGAGCTCCTTGCTCAATGGAAACCGACCAGCAACTATCTGTTTATTGATTTGATAGCACAGCAACAGACGTTCCTTGTCGGTTTCCAATCTCGAGCTATTCTTCCACCATAACCTGTTTTTGTATGTCACCCTTATGACTCGCGTATTTTCGAATTTGCCTAGACCTTTCTCTCGCAAGGCCACCTCCCATTTGGAGATAACGTCGCATAACTTCGCCGAAGGGTCGAGAGTGTGTTCCAGGTCTTTTTCAATGGGATCGTCGCTGAATAAAGCGAAGCCGTTTGTCGCCCTACAGCCAATTTCTGTTGCCAAACTGTCTTGGAACTCTTTCACCGTACTCGAACCGTCGAAACTTGAAATGTGATATGTTCCGTTGAGGAGATGCACTGGCATTGAGTGAGGTAGCGCGTGGTGTTGAGGATTTTTCAGCAGTATACTTAGAACTTCCATTCGGGATGGTTTATATTCTCGTCCACCTAAAGTTAGGATTTATTTAAAGGAATTCCTTTGTGATAATGTGTACCTGTCAAAATGGTTCGTTCCAACGCTCTCTCGCAATACGAAGCGTATTTTCCACACTCCGTTCTGTTATCGGCGTTACGCTGGAGATGATGCTTCAAGAACCATAGCAATCTTGAAGATTTGGGAACGAAAAGACTAACGGACAAAGCCAATAATTGCCATCCTTGTATCAAAGTATAACTAGGAGGTCCCTTATGATCCTTGTGGTCTTTATAGTACTCCTTGTGTTCTTTGTATTTATCTTCTTGAGAAGCCTGTATATTGGAAGATGAAATTTGTTGTTCAGATGAACTATTTATACTGGGTGTTGTCTCACATGTGAATAAACTTTGTGTTGCACAAAGTAGGAGTTGCTGAAAAGAATTTTGGTGTTTCTTATTGTGTTTTGTGATAATTTGTGTTAAATGTGTGAACAGAGAAACCAGCCTGTATACCTATTTGTGTGTTATTTGTGCCTGGGTGTGTCAGTGTAAGTTGGTCGAAACATACACAGGCAGCTAAAATCTATTCTAGACTTCTATGAAGAAACATTCCGAAAACAGAACAAAATGAATGATAACTTGAAACACCAACATTCTTAATCAGTAGAACAAAAGTTATTGTACATTATCACAAATGCATGCACTAAAATAAGTGAAGTAACGATTGTGTGCAAGTGGAGAACCTCAAATGTACTGTGAAGCTAATTGATATGACTATACAATGAATGCGTGCAGAAAAATAATTTGGGATTTTAGCAAATCTGTTCAAATTGTGACACCAGAAATGCAATGTTGGACAAAGAAACGTTTACATCGTTTATAATCACTTTTGATTGTGCGATTGTACACCAATTTATAAATACATCAGTTTAAAAACTAGTAATACAGAGTAAGTTTATTTATTATATACCTAATAGCTTAAAAAGTTTAAGTTTAAAGTTTGAAAGGAAGGAAAACCTTAAATAAACTGCCCTGGTGACACAAGGGACTCTCCCCATTATGTGCACACACTAGGAAGCTTTTTAATAGAGCAAAAAACATGGGGGAGTATGGGTCATATCAAAATACACTTACCGAACACAATAAGGAGATATGGGAGACAAAACGTGATAGGAAATTGAACAAATTCCAGAACTCCACAAAGGAACAAAGGGTAGAATCGGTTCCTTGAAGAAAATTGAGGGGGGTTATACAGAGATCGCAAAGGAGACCTTGGAGCTTTTGCTTCAATCAAACTTTCCGGGATCAAAGACCCTCGCTCAAAATGAGGCGGGCGAATCAATAATTACTCTGGAACCACTTCTCAGGGGGAACAGAGAAAATTATGGTTTTGGCGTGACAGATAGTGAACCTAATCAAACTTAGGTGGGCAGTGAAGACTATGTACATTATTAAGGGCAAATTTTGCCCTGGAATACATACCTATGACGTGGAGGGACGTAAAAGTCGTATTCATACCGAAACCTGGGCGAGACTCATATGCCCAAGCCAAATCGTTAAGACCCATCAGTCTAACGTCGTTTCTACTACAACTAATGGAGGAATATATTGTAATGGAACCGAATTTGCCCGTTAAATTCGATTTAAATATTCCCGAAGCCACCTCTGGCGCAGAAGAAGTCAAGATTGAGCTTTGTTTCGTTTCCGTGGAACACGTGATTTTTTTCTTCTCTGCTCTACATTGAAATGGGCCATAATTTACAATAAAAGTGTCAAATATATCGCTATACGAGGGAACTTAATGATCCTTATCTTCGTCTATGATTTTCTTAAAAAAGGGAAATAGATGTAGATGTAGGTATTTGTGATTTTGTTGAGGGCAGAAGTAATTTTTACGTTTCGAATAGTGAGTGCAGCTTTGACGATTACAAAGGTTACATATGCATTTTTATCTCTACGTCTATTGCATCCAGGGGCGGAGTGATCCGGGGGGGCGGGTGGCGATTGCCACCTGGCCTGTAGGTAATACTCGCATATTGGCCCGTTGGAAATTTATAAGTCTGTGCTGTATTTAGTTTCTTGCACTATTAATAAATTATTACCATTTTCTCTCATTGGGGGTTGATAAAAAATTCTGTTTTTATTTAAGTGTTTTACAATGAATGTATCATTTTTGGTCGTATTTTGAAAGCGCTGAAACATAATTACAGGCGACGCGCCTCGCTTGGATTATGTATATTTTGTTACTTTTAATTATCAGCTGCAATAAAAAAAAAACTATATTCTAATTGATTTTCGAGAAAGGAATACTTTAAAATGAAGCAAAAAAGCAGAGTTGAACCCCCCCCCCCCCATCTCCATTGCACTAATACTTTTTAATGGCCCGTAACCTATGCAATTCCACCTGGCCCGTAAGTACCCAGTCCGTACCTGATTGCATCAATCTAGTAATGATATGATCATGTTAGATTATTTGACAATTTAACGGTATTCTCGTACAGCATGCGTATTGCCATTTATCACCCATTCTAAATACTAATTGCCCTTTTGTAATTATACTGGTCAGACTTTGAATTAAACGCATAGAGATTCTAGGTAAATATGTTGTTTTCCAATTTACAGTACTTTGTTTGTAGTGATGGTTTTACCTGCCAACCCGTAATATGAATTACTGTTTATTTACAGGGTGTTTCATCTGGGTACGTTAGGTGGTTGATTGTTACATATTGCACTTGGCATTGAGAATTAATTACTTTATACTAATTTTTTGCCACGACATGTTCCTGTGTTTTGTTGTAATGTGGTATTTAACGTTATGCTCCTACTATTTATTTGAATCGGGTGATATGATTATTAATATTTCGCAGAGTGACTTATTCCATACAATGTAACCATCCATACAATGTTGACATGTCATGACCAGAGCAACTAAAGACTACTCGGTGTGGGATTTGGACTGGCCATCCAATATTCAAACTTGTTAGGTGAATTTATTGCAATGTTTTAATGATTGTTTTTTTATTTATGTGTGTCAAAGATCGATTCTTTAGGAATTCCAGTGGAGCCTGTGACTCGACATTATATTAATTTACTTGACAACTATCATAATATGCATTTATCTCATTACAGATTTTGCTATAAAGTTTAATATTAATTTGTTCGCTGGTTTTTTTCTTGGTCAGTTCTTTTTTTCCCAGCCTATTGTCATATTTGTACTCGGTGAACTACCATTTTTTAAATTTGATCTTGCAATGCGAATTATTTGGATTAAATCTCCGTTTTTAAAGCATGTACTGGTTTTATTTGTATTCCTTACTTGATCCTCACTCTGACAAGCAATACATATCTTGTAGCGACTCTTAAAACACAACGTAGTAGTGGTGCTATTATTTTGTTATTCAGGTTAGGTAGCTTTGTCTAGACTCTAGACGATCATGTGGCATGCGGTTCAGTTAGTTTGGGAGGAAGGTTTTGAATTTAAATCTTGAGTTGCGCAGTCTCTCGGAGCTGGAATGGGTATGCCACAATATTGAGGGAGACATAAGGGATGAGGTGCTGAGGCCTGAACCCATCAGTAAAGACCAATGCGCCTATCAACCAGCAAAATCCAGTGAACTTGCTATCCACAGAGCAGTGGGTGTAGCTGAAAGGGCGATCTCCTGTATGTTACACTCGATATTTGCCATCTGATGATGCTAAATGCCTTTCCGCTTGTATAACGCTGCAGATATCACTTATCACACATCTACATGTTACAAGCTAAGATCCTGTAATTAACTTACTCTGTATAACTAGTAGCTAATAGGGATTTTGGTGTTTCAAAAGTTGAATATTTGTTACATGAAGTAAATGATGAACAAAACAATTTTTCATTCACAATAAATTAAACGGCGTTTTTGTAAGCCCACGATTTACGCATAAGCAAAAGCGAAACAATCGTTTATAACTTTAAGATCGAAATCTACCATGAGATGATCGCTAATCGTTTAAGAAATAAATATAAGAAGCAACACTTACACTTTTTTTAAGCAATTTTTGTGTAGATACCTGAACTCCTAGCTTGGGCAGGGGCGAACTTTTGCTCGTTTGTTTAATAAGCGCGCATATAAGTTCAGCTTGGAGTTCTGGCATATCCAGACACTGTTGCAACGCATTCTGCGCTAATATCACGTGATAGTCGATACCGGCCTGATCGACGGCCGCCGACATGAACAGCTGCAGACACTTAAACTGCTTAATTGCTTCGGCCTGTAATGAAATTCTCAGTGTTGCAAAACCCATTGGGTTGATAATCACCTGTAGTGCTTCGGTTGGAAGAGTTGTGAGTGGGAAGTAGGAAGGAATAGCTCCATCTTTGGTGCACGGGACGTGCAGTAAAACGGGATGCCTCCAAAGTACACAATTCGTATCGCCATCAACTTCCATCAATTTATGGATGAGCTGTTCGTACTGTGTACCACTACTAGGGCCCCCGCCGCTTGCAACCGTCAGATGGTACAACCACGAATCTTTTTCCTAAACTCACAGCCTTAATCTGGAGTTCCACACAACAGTACAAACTTACCTGTTTACCAGGGCAGAGTAGGTAGGTCGGTCCTTGGTGATTAGGAAATATGCCCAATGTCAACTCTGTGCATTCAGCATCCTTGTCCTCGGAATCGGAATCAGACAAATGATCAACTTCCTCCACCCGTGAATCGCGCATGTTGATCTGTCCGGCCGGTGTCTACATACCATAATTAGTCTCCCATCCCTTTGTGCGAGTAATACTTACAGTGTCAGTAGGAGATTTAAAATACAAAAACATTTTTCCTATCAACACACACCAGCATTTCTTCGCGTGCCCATTCTTAACTTTGGTAAGCCATCCTTGAACGGATGGCTTATTCTCCTCCTTACTTAACAATAACTTTGTCGCATTTCGGCGCTGTACATTTTGCAAGGTTCGTACCCAGTCTTCCATTGCAGTGATCGAGTCAGCAGTTAAATAGTACGTTTTCTTCCCTGTATCAATTTCAAAAGTATTGGACCCATCCGCTCTCGTTATTTTACAAATTTCATCTAATAATATTTGCCCTTGAGGTTTCCTATTAATATCACTTTGGTTCTTGTAGTACGTTAAAACACCATTTTTTAGAACAAACCACCGCTTCCGCCACGTTTTCAATTTTCCACCTGTGAACCACAAAGTAAACACCCGGTAAAGGTGGAGCTTACGGTACCTAATTTCGCTAAAGATCCACTCTTCTCTATACTCTCCGATTTTTTATTGGGACTATCCATAAACGAGGTTCGCAAGATTGATGATTCTAAACTTGTCGTATCACAACTAAGGGCGTCTGGAGGCACTGCGTAATCATCTGACATACCCGACTCGAATGAGGTATCTGAAACGCCTGAGTGTCATGGTTAACAACCACAACATTTGTAAAATAAGAAAAAGGAAAGTAAAATTGTACACGTAAATAAAAAAGTGTATAGTGTAAATATTAACCTCTTGTTTTACTTTTACTCGGCGACCCGCTGCTACTCGAGGCTGTTCGTTTGCCAGGACTCGAACCTGTTGTATCACCCGAACTTCTACTGTGAGTATTAGTTCCGTCGATTGCCTGAAATTGTTATACCTTTTAGATTATAATCGCATTGTAGTGTTTTTACTTGCGAAATGCGGGCGAAACAATTTCTACAAGTCACATATGATTCGAGTTATAGCGAGTTATGAGGATTCATATGTTGGCCCCTATTTTCAGAAGTTCAACTGGTTGCTTAGTTTTGCATTTGAACTTTTATTGTAACGGTAGCTCTTAAATCTGGATTTATTACTTCGAATTTTATAGAGCGTTAGAGCAGTTTGGGTATTACATATCATAGAACGGCTACAGGGTGTAAAAAATCGGAGGGATAAATTTTACAATAAATTATATGGCTGGTGTGAATGGTGGTTGAATTGTTAGAAAAAGTCTGTACGCAATTGGTAGAATTAAATTTTCTGCGACTTTTGATTTCTATAGAGCATTGTTACCTTACTAAATTTTGGATTTTGTTGCAAGAAATAGCTGACCAAAAAGTACCTAGCTGCAAGTTTAGCGTACCAATTTTAAAGATACAACTTGGTAGGCGTGGTTAGTTACGAGGTACAGCCTAAACCTCGTCTTTTTGGGGAGGTACTGCTAATCAGAGTTACATTTGAGCAAAATGGTTTACTTAGTCTCTAGACGCCATGTTAAAAAAAGTGAAAATTAATAAATAAAAAAGGGTGGAGTGATCTGGAGTAGTTGTGAAGGTATTCGTTCTTGGGCTACGAGATCGTTACGTACATGGTCCAAGACATGTGTTGTTTTTGAGCGCAAAACGCAAGATTTCAAGCAGTTGTAATCTAAAAGAAAGATTTTTCTGATAGATTCGTTTCTGTACCAATCGCGTAGTCACGGTATGGTTCAGATTAATAGAATCTGCCTCACGTTTTAAGCATTAAAAAAAGTTCCTTCGTGTTTTATCGGGGTGAAAATTGCAGTCTTTTCCTCAGAACGGAATCTTCAAACGCAAGTAAAGTGCGTTTACAATTAAATGAACGAACATTCGGTTAGTTCGATCGACCGACCGTGTCGGTTGTTATCTATGCTCAAGAAAAAGATTAGGGATAAAGAGAAGACGATAAAAATGGATGAACCAGGCGCTTCTTTATGAGAAACATACAGATCTGTTTATTTATGTTATAGGAGTGGGAAATATGAGGCAGAAGTAAGTGTTGTAACTTGTAGTGTCGTTGATAAGGAAAGCAAAACACCGTATCTATACTTGTTCCGTTTTTAATTGGTCACGTAGATATTTTAATGATTCTTGCAAGTCGGGAGAAAATATTGTGCTTCGTTAATTAATTATGAGCCGCTTTTAGTTTCTCAATGTTAAAAAAAGCGAGTATTAAATCAAGCAAGGCCATGTAGTTTATGATAGATAAGCAGACCTCTCGCTTGATCCAAACATTACAATTAACAATGCGCCTTACTCGATTACCAAATGTTGGAATTTTAATCCGGCCAATTAAGTGAGTTTAATTAGCCGTAGTGCAAACGTTATCAAAATGGGTCGTGTTTAGTATCAAATGAAGCGCGCTTAATTAACATGAATTTTAAGACTGGTTCCCGATTATCATAACAGGGAACACTGTAATTAATTAAAGAAGTTTACATTTTGGAATGTTATCTACAGAGTACGTTGTGCCGGTTGGAGAATCACCGGGCCCGTCCACAAATTTGCGAATTCTATAAAATAAAATAAAAGATCTTTAGGCGTCAACGAGTAAGTTTGGAACGTTGAATTTTCGCATTTTACCATACCGTTTAATTTCAAGCTAAGCATGTGAAACGTCTCTTTTCGTTAATTATGAAGGACATTTTGGGATTGGGAGTTTAATCTCCGAAAAAACTCTATCCAGAGGGCAACAGTAGTCATATAAGGTCGAACCTGGATCAGTTCAATGTCAAGTTATCTAGCTCTTCTGACGAGGAATTTCGAAGCTTGCTCACCGTTCAAAGTTCTAAGGTTGGTCAACGTTCAAAGTGCAAAGGTTGGCCGACGTTCAAGACCCCATTTTGTGATGTGATACTTCATTTTTAAGGTAACCCCCTAACCTAGTATGGGAGTACCTACACTTTCCAAGATTTTCATAATTCACTGCCCGCATTTCACAAAAACTCGATTTAAATTTGAAAAATTTAATAATTATCTCAACCTTAATTTTCCTTATTCGTCAAACCCTTGCCATTCAGTTATCTACAGTGCTGACAGCAGTACTGCTTTACCACTTCGAACTATGTCAAAACAACATAATTACTATTTATTTAAAATCATCAGTTTGAGGGTCGAGGAGAAAGGAAAATTGGTGTTGAGATAAGTGATTCAAGTTTTATTATTTATAGTTTACTACAACAATTTTTACCGCTGTATTGTTGCCTTCGCCATCGCTCGAATCGTCCGAAGAGTCCCCAGTGAAGGGCATAGACCTAATTTGACTAGCTCTTCCCTTGACAGTTGCATATACAGGCACCGGAATATCTTGGTAACCCGCCTGCTCGGGTCCCACATCACTAGGTGTCGTGCCTGTCAAAGTCAATCCATCTGCGGCAACCTACAAATGCTTAAACAGTGAAAAAAAGCGTTAAGTAAATCGCGTGCTCACTTGATATATCCTATTTTCCCAACTGGGAAATCGATGGAGGGGCGGCGTGGGTGCCCTGGGCCAAGGAACCTTTTCTCGACTGGGCGTGTATATTTCAGCGTAATCGTGCGCTAAATCGGGATCGGAGGCACTACCGCTCGTTATTCGACCTAAACTTAAATTATCGACAGCCACGCGCAAATCCTCCGAGAGAGGATCCATACTTGAATTGCTAGTTACAAAATTACTGTTTATAAAGCTAGCACTTGGCACAGATGGTTCGAATGAATTTGTAGATATGCAAACTGATTGATGCCTGCGGTGTCGGGAGGTTCTCGACGCGCTCTGCCCGACGGCGACCTGACCTCTCGGTTCGGGAGAGCAACTTTCCGATCTTCTCCTATCACTCAATGCTATGTGATTCTTTAACAGTTCCAACTGCTGATTGCACTTGATATTCTGCTCCCTTAAAACCTGGTTCTGCTGTTCCAATTCCCTAAGTTTGTTCGTGACCCATTCCTTTATGCGGGCGGCTTTAGCTTCGACCTGGCGGGCGTCGTGTAATCTCAATTGGCGTTGCTCTTCTATCTCTCCTTCCAGACGCGATATCTGGGTGTTGGAGTCATTTGATTGCGACCATGCCAGCTTTTGTTCCATTATTCGTACCTGCAAGGAGACAAACGGATTATTCATTGTGTCTTGTCAGAGCCGGAGTAGATCTTTATATAGCAATAGCGCAAAATTGACCACAAATATGAAGGAATATCGGATTGCTCTACGCAAATTGATGTCACTTGAGATGGGGGCGCCCAAGGGCACGTAAACATATACCATATCAAGTGTTTTAATTATTATTACATAGATTATTGTAATTTTTCGTCAAGGTTAAAGGTGCAGATGAGACAATTATTTACCAGCACACTATTCAAAATCTTGCGTCCAGATAATATTAGATATTAATAAATGTTTCAAAACCCATTCGTGGATGTTGCCAAGTAACACAACTGTAAATGATGAGTAAATGGCAAGTACAGACCATGATTGGAAGCAGGCCATCGTCGTCATAATCCTGCCTTTGACGTCGTCAGTGGCGGTTCCAGAGGGGGAGGGGGGGCGCCCCCCCCCCATTGTTCATTTTTTCCATCAGATTTCTTTTATTTTTTTCCGTGTTGGGACAAAGTTCGGGTTTGGGCCCCTCCCTTTACTAAATCCTGGGACCGCTACTGGACGTCGTTATACTTTTCCGTAATTATTTGGCAACTTAGGTCATTTACCTGCATTTTCAAGACAAATATGTTTGCACCACGTACTTATAATCGAATAAACTGAATTGCGTTTGCGTAACAATTGTTGACGTCGTTTGCGTGTAAGACTTTGGGGGTATATCATAGTCGAATTTATCATTAGGATTTGCACTCTAATTGTGTATTGATTTAAGACAGCATACTGCACTTGGCAGTATTTATTGATTTAAATGTATAATTCGGGTAACGTATCGATTTTGATTTTAATAGAATATTCATATTTGGCACTGAGCACAACGTTCCCAATTTGTTTTGTCATAATTTGCCGGCCCGTTCAGTTGAATCTGGACTGTGGTACTAAGGGTCCCTGGTTGGAATCCGGGTTCGGACATGGATATCTGTAAATGTATAATGGGTTGGGTTGGTAGAGCAGCCTTGGTTGAAATTTAATTACCACGTAATACAAAACAGGTATTTAAGAAAAAAAAGGTAAGTTGCAACGAGTTAATAACCTAAGGAGCAATTACAGGCCAACGAGTCAGTGAGTAAATATCAACAAATAGTGGCGTAACGACGTGGCGGTAGTACTTCCAACCCTACACATCTTGAAACATTACATTACCATCTCAAAAATTGGGTGACAGTGGATTATCATTTTCTTTGCCCCTTCCAATATGTACTTGTGCGAAAACTAAATTATAAATGTGAAAACAATTTTGTCGTGAAATACCATATTCACTATAGATGCATTCAAGAGAACCTTAAATATGCCAAAGGTTCTTATACTGAAAGTCCCTAAAAATACGATAGCAAGCGGAAACTAACTAGACTAAAACCTCTACTAAAGCGGTCTTAAGAACTGGTCGTATGTGAAACGGCTCATGTCATAACAGAACACGGTAACTTTGGCAGATATTTCAACAAATTCAAGGTTAAACACGCAAGGGCTTACCCCTTAATACTGCAGGAAAGAGAGAAAGAATATTTTTCAATGCATAATCGTCGGAACCTGATACGAACAGGAGCCGGAAATATGAACTCGTCCTATATGCAAAGAGGAGAGGGAGAGATGATGGATCATACTGAGAAGAAGAACAGAGTAGGAGTTAGCCACCGCAGGGGAAAATAAATAATTTAAAAAAACGGTTCCCACCTGAGATACACAGTGTTCTAACATTTTTTGATAAAAAAATCTTTAGGTTAAAAATTTTGACCATCAAGAGCGCCTTCAAAATCTTAAAGTTTCCCAATTTAGCTGTTTTTGTCGTAAATTTGAGAAATTATAAGGTTGCGGGGGCAAACAATTTGGATTTTTTAATTTTTTAGCATATTTAGCACATTTGCATGGCTACTTTACCATTTATAGCGCACACATACCTTTTAAAGCCTTTGGGATGTTAAAAAACTTCCGAATTCGACTATTTCCTTCGTCAATTTAAAAAATCATGAGTTTGGAGTAACAAAATATTTAAGAATGAACGATGGGGGCATCTGAAATCTGAATCTTTAAATTTTTTAGCACAGTTAGTACTTTTTGAGTCAAAAATCTTAAATTTAAAGCAGTTTTTACCATTGAAAATGCACATACGACACCTTTTATAGACTTTAAGATTATAAAAGCTTCCAAAATCGCCTATTTCCGTAGTGAATTTTAAACAATAATGGAATTTTTCACACACAAAATTAATAATACAGAAATGGCGCTGCTGAAACTCAAATCTATATTAGGTTTCAAGATTTTAAAGCTTCTAAATTCGGTATTTCCATTCGTAAATTCAGAAAATCATGAGGTTATGATTTAAAAAAAATGTAAAATGCAAAAATGGGTCTTTGGACGCTTAACAACTACAGTGAGTTTAAGTTTAGTCGGGTATGTACGTACTTCCCACCCTAATAGGAAGGAGAAACTCACCCTACCATTGGAAGATAGAACCTATGCAGCTTGGTGTCCTTAAAAAGTATACGGTAGCCTATCAATTCTGTAGATGCCGATTCTAATTAAAAACGTCCGCATGCCGTAGTTTACACAACAATACCTATTTGGTTTAGCGGATCCCAAGCTTTTTTTATCTGGGAACTGGGAATCTTCATCTTCATTCACATGAATGAGAATTTTCTAAGTTTAGATATGGTGGTTATTTGAGATTGAACACGATGTCGATCATATTATTTGAATTTGAAGTTCATTGTTTTTTGTATTAGAATTTATAAGATGTAAGATCTGGAAATAATTGCATTGTGTTATTATAAAAGTTTATCTCCGGTCAATCTGATAAGGAGTTCGTAATCGCTGCGTAAAAGCCAAATAAGTTGTAGATAAGTAAGTGTGTTTTTCACTGTAAGAAAACTCAGGTGTGAGTCGAAGACGAAAATTCAAGAAAACGAGGAAGAAGGAGTAGTCGTTAAATGGACGAAGCGGACGGGAAACGGCGTTTTTTTTGTCGAGCTTTTGGAACAGTTTCTGGTAGATGGTTTTTGGAAAGACAGTCAGTTTTGTTTGTTGTAAAGTTCTTGTAGAGGAAGGTCTAGTTGGTGCTCTATGAGTTTATAATTTGTCGCTATGAAAGTGAAAGTTCGAATTCCCGTTTCAGATTCGTGTCACGTTTATTGAGAAGTAGTCTGAGTTCCAAAAAAAATCTGTAAATTTGCAATTAAATATGTAAATTAATAAAAAATGAATCGTGTGGCCAAATCTACGGAATACAATTAAGTGAATCCCTAAACAAGCAAGGGTTTGACATTTGGGTATACCATCTTTGTTATATAATATGCAAACATTTCATTAATTTACACTATAACACCATGAACTGCGCAATATGAAAAGTGCAAATGCTGTAATTTTGGCAGTGACCCCTTACCCTTATTTACCTCTCCTAGCAAGTGGCCATTGCCAAGAACTCCAGATTCAATGTCAAAACCGAGGCTTCCACTCCAAATTCAAACAGCCTATGATTATGCGTCTTTCGATTTGTTTGGTAAGGATAGTAAGTACTTCCGTGTGACACGAAGCTTAAGTTACAGTTCTATTGAATTTAGTAATTTAAAAAACCCAGCTGTAAAGGGTATCATGCTTCCGATCTACAGTAGCTACCACACCTGCGTGTAACTAATACTTCACAAAAACGAAAAGTATTAGGTACACACTGACTCATTGCGTTTAATCATTTAATAATACCCTTTGGTCTGAAACCGGTGTCAGTCAACTCTTTCGCCTAAGATATTAATACAGATCGTATAAATAGAAACATTACCTGAGCACTCCATGATTGTCACCGTCGCTTCACATAAAAATATACACGACGAGAAGAATGTTCTTAACCACTAAAACCGAAAGCACTTAATTTAAAAGAAGGGAGTTCTCACGGTGGCCACAGTTTCGGACAAGAAACTGAGCTGTCTGCAGTTATAAATCGGCGCCAGATCGTCCCGACGCCGTCGCCGCCGTCAGTAAACTTCCCCAGTAGTAGGTACAGAGTTAACCCCCCTCGTTATTCGACTGGCAAACGGCCAAACACCCCGCGTATGAGCGAGCCGAGGACGTACACTTCTCTAAGTCACAAATTGTCACGTAATAATAATAAAGAGGGGTCCCGTACGAATTTAAAAGTTGTATCATTGTGTCACTCGCGTGGGGAAGGGTGGTACTTACCCTTCGTTTGTAAATTGTTAATGGAACAGATGTTCATAAAACAAAGCGACGGCGAGCATGTAGGGCAATTATTTAAATAAAAAAAGGGTATAAAAACATGCAAACTGTATTCATTACACGCACATTTCGGCCAAGTGTGACTGCGACAAAAGTGCTCTCTTTCCTAATTTTCCAAGTTCATTTGGAAAAAAACCAAAGGTCGCAAAGCAGATGCGCTTTTCCCTGGTTTCGAATTTAAGGCATAAATTTGTATTCGAGGCGTAGGCATTTTCTCTCACCTTGCGACGATAGGTGATTCGGATAAGACCGTAAAGGCTATGAAATTATGCAGAAAGATGGAATATCACTCAAATGTGGTAGGTACTACTCGAATTTCCAAAATTGCTTATACCTTATCGTTCTTGTGGTAGTAGGTATATCTATCACATAAATTTTTGAAATTCGTTCTTTGCTTTCTTGTGAGCTACACACTGGACACACGGTAGGGGAATTTTTTGACCATCGGCTTTCATTCAGAAACACGACTTTGAATCCGGCTCATATTCAATAGCGAAATATATAAAAATCAGTTGGCGAAGGTTTGACATGGCTGTCTCATTTCGTTCTAAAGTTAGACGAAAAACAGACGGACAGATAGATGGACAAACCCTCACATAAAGGGAATTTTCTTTTGAAAAATTTCCCTAAAAACGTAGCTTCCTACGCGGCGGAGATTTAAGGCTGACTAACAGAAAACGATAACAAGATAAAAACGTTGTCACCGATGAAAGTGCGATTTCCCCGCATCCAAAAAATCTTTTGCGGTTCTGATCTCGGGGCTGACCTACACCGTATAAGAAAGAAACCACGACGAGAGGACTAGTAGGGGTACGGACGGACAGACTGACGGACAAAGTGCGGACAATAGCGTTCATTTAAGGAAAATGCGCTAAAAACTTAACATAAACAATAAACATAACTGGTTGTTCCGTATACCTATTTTAATGTAAATTGTGTTGGGTTTTTATGAAATGTCAAAATGGATTACAAATAATTAACTAACATAATTGTACAGGGTGGTTCAAATTCGTCGCTCACCGGTGGGATCTCCGTAACGGTGAGCTATACACTGTAGGTTAAATGGGGGCTAAGTTGTCCCTTTTTGTGACTAAAAAATCGCATTTAAAATTTTTGAAAAATCGTTGGAAATAACTGAGATATCACCGAAAAACGTCAACTTTCGTTTTCTTTTTCGGTCGGAAATTGACGGGTCCCGTTAGCTTCTATTGGCACTTTTTTTCCAAGAATCTGAATCTGTTATCAGCATTTCCACGCTAGATATGTAGAAGCTACATGTATTTTTACAAAATGAAATAGAAGACAAAAAAGAAAAATAATGAGGCACCATACGTGATACTTATATAAATTGGCAAGAAGAATTTTAAAATCAACTAAACATCTCGCTAAACATCAACAAGTAACTAGATCTTACTGAATCAACATGACTATAATAGCGATGTATTCAAACGAATTTCTTTTTTCATAAAAATCCAATATGGAGTCTATAAGAAATAAGCAAGTAGCTTCTACATTTAGCGTGTTAGGAAATTCTGATATGAAATTTAGATTCTCCAAAAAAAGTGTCCAAAGAAGGTGCTGTAATCGTTACGGAGATCCACGAATTGGAACCACCCTGTTCATGAATAAGCTAACTTTTAATAATGCAAATTCAAATTTAAAATTTCGGGGTAGTGGTGATGGGGGCAGGTAACAAGATACATGTACGGTCAGCCCTCCACACTTACGATCTGATTGAAACTTTTCCAGTGTCAAGAGTTTCCAAAATTCAAACGTACTGTGCCTTGTAACGGGAGCCCTGTATTATGGTTTATTTACTTTGAATTTTTTACGGTTATTTTTGGGCGAATGGTCTTTATGTATGAAAAGTTAAAAGCGCCAACTTATCCCATCATGAGACAAAAATGATTAGATGTACGTGACCGTCAGGCTGAATCAGATCCGTTCGAGGTTTCTGGAAAAGTGCTTTTCTGAAGTGGGGGTTGGTGAAAAGAAATGAATTCTATTGGTAGAACAAATTCGAAAAAAATGTGGGGTTTAGGCCGTGAAAAATAACCACAGGGATTGCAGGACGCTGGAAATCACGACAGAGGCTATCAAAAGAAAAAAAATCGTAAGCAATCGCCCTTGCAATAGTTAAATCGGGGTGAAAAGAAATTCAGTTCAAGTAGCCAAAAATTCAAATTCGGTTAAGCTGAGAAGCATAATTTCCTTCCTCATAGCAGTTGGGCCCCGCCTAGAGAAGTTAATTCAATTAGGCGATGATTTTTGGATTGTGAATATTCGCACCTGGAAATTTTCACGTTGAATAGCGCCATCGAAGTTTTGTCCGGTGTTTGCTCAGCGACGAATTAAATACTGCGCTAGTTCGAACTGTACGAGTAGATTCGAAATAAATAAATTATAATTTTTGACGTTTTAATTTGCACAACAGTTGCAAAGGAAGACATAAATCGCGAATTACAGACAGCGTAACATTTAAAATCGAGAATTTGAACTCTTTGATCCTGAACATAGGAAAGGGGACTGTAAATAAATAGTAATCCGGCATCGCATTTCACTATTCGTGCGCACTCAATTCACTCAATGCCAAATTCGTATTCCGGCGGATCGCGTAAATTGTGCAATCTTTTGAAATTGCCAAGAAAAGGAAGTGCAGTTTCGGTCCATAGATTTTTCTCTGTTCGATAACGTTTTGTGGACAGACTAGAGACTAGCCTGTGCTCGAGTCGCACGCCCAGGGATTTCACTATCGTAGTTATTAAAGAAATAAGGTAATCACTTTTTTTTTTATTATATTCAACTTTGCCTTTAAAGATTTTAAAGAAGTTAGCTTTAGTCATTTAAATAGTAAGAAAAGAAACCCTTAAACTTAAAGAATCTGCACTTTCATATTGACGAATTTTTTTTAATAAATTTTGAATAGTGAAAAACTGATGGTATAGTAGGAATAATGATACTAGCAATTTTCTATTTTTAAGAGTACGAATTGTGCGCAGTAATTATTAATAATAATAATAAACCATTTATTTGTAGATAAAAAACAACAAAATATTTTTCACTTTAAACTTAAAAATTATTATAACAAATAAATGTATAAAATCTACATTCACACAAACATGGGTACATTGGACATTAAAAAGAAAAGAAAAAAAAATATCAACACTGAATTCATACCTGCAGCAGATATCTGTTTAAAAACTTGTTAATATCTTTTGGCAGGTGCAAGGTGAATAACTTGATAATAGAATTTAAAAAAAAGAAAAATAAAATTTAAAAAAAAATAAGAAAGAAAATAAAAATAAGCTAAAAATAAAAATAAATAAGATAAAGGGAAAGATGATAAGTAACAAAGGACTAATAGTTAAATTAAATTTGAACTAAAAGAATGTTTCGAACCTCTTGTATACTCATTGAAGCACACATTTTTTTTACATTTTTCAGAAATGATTTATTCGATAGAATAAAAAACAAGGAGCTATTGTACTTTAGTTGAAACTGGTTATAGACCTTGATTACATGAAAAGTGAAGTTTTTTTGTGCAACTTGTTTGTTAACTGTTACATTGTCGGACAGTTTTGAATCTTGTAGTGTAGTTGTGAGTAGGAATATTAAGCAGTGTAGACTTGCGTTTGTAGATGTATTTTAAGAAGGTGAGTATATAAAGATGATAAATAGAAAACAACTTAGTTTCTTTAAAGAGTTGTTCTGATGATAGCATTAACGGTTTTCGAAATAATATTTTTAAAATTAGTAAATTATTTTTTTAACATTAAAAAAGGGGTGAAGCAAGATAACAGAGTTTCCACTTAACTGTTATAACGTGAAAACCACGTTTACAAAAAAATAGGTAAAATATGCCAGCTAATCAGGTCGGCGCAATGGTCGTAGGTAAGTACATATAATTTATCTGTAATCAAAAGACAACTTAAACATTCCACCAAAAGAATCAAACTCATGCATTTACCCAAACACAAAGATCTTTATTCGAAATTTAAAAAAAAGGTTTTCGTTGGCACGTAGTGAACAAAATTAATTAAATTGATATAATTGAAGCTTACATCACACAGCTTTTATGTAAATGTGGCCATATTTTTACAGGTAGCGCTGCAGATTTAGAAAGTAAGTACTAATACTAATTGGTTTGAACACATCCATTACCAATGGACAAGTAGCCACTCTAGTTACGTTAAATTAATAAATATATCGAAATCAACTTTTAAACAGCAAAAGAACAAATTTATTTCAGCTGCCAACTTTTTATCCAAAGTTGTGCTTGTCCACGGTTTAAACAAAAATAACAAATTTGTATGAAAATAAATCAAAAACAAATCCAAAACTACATACCAACTGATTTGTGTATTGTTATAAATTGAACTTCGAATTTTCCAGATTGAATGGCGGTAGGATTATCCACAAAGGTTTTTCACGGAAGGTTACTCCCAACAAATGATAACGCTTGCCTCGGCGCCTTTTGACCACAACCCAAAAAAACGTCGAACCCCAAACGTGGTAAGTATTTCTTCTGCACAGCAGCTTCGCTTTATTTTTAGAACTTGATCCGAAACCAAATTTTCAGAAAAACATAAACCATATAAACCCAAAAATAAAAGGCTAAAAAAATATATGTATGAATAGAACAAACGATCAGAAAAAAACTTACGACTTGGCAACAAATCCCTTTTCAAAACACCGTCTAATCGAACTCAAATTTCAAAAAACAACTCTTGGTAGGTAAGTAATTAACCTTTGACAAGATTATATTTGCAGTTTGCCAGAAATTAGCAACAAATTCTACGGCGTAATTCGTTTCACCGCAGCCGTCTTTTCGCTTTCGTAGCTATCAAGGAAGTATTGGTGCTTATTTATTGGAAATTTTTGAGTTCCTTCAAGGATTTATAGTGATATAAAATTGAATAAACGAGAAAGGTACACTGTTAAAATGTATTTATTTTACACTGTGAACATAAATTTGTTACACTGTATGACTACGTATGACTTTAAGAAGGGATTTTTGAGTAAAAAAAGTTAAATTTAGAGAGAGGTAAAAAAACGAAGACAGAAGTTTGTTTTTAGAATTTTCTTTAATACACGTAACTAGTTTGACATTTTTAATTGTTAAATGCAATCAAGCGGTTAAGCAGGAGCGCGATAAATTAATAATTTTTCAGATATATCAGGAAAAGGTTCATATTCGTCGGGGGTAATCCACCCTGCATAAATGTACAACCTACGACGATGCACACATTCTCGAGAGCTGACAACCCCGCGATTTTTTAGAAGACGAACGGTGTCTACGCGGTCTTAAGCCTCAACATTGGCTACGTAACGGGATTTTCGTTTTAACTTTCGTCACAAAAGCGTATGTTGATATTTTTGTGTTATTTAATACAGTTAGTAATCTTTGCATTTCTTTATACTTTATTTGTGTTTTGTATACAACATTTTATATTTTTTATAATGTTCCATCTGTGTTTTCGAAACTGACTTGATTTAACCTCAATGCAGAATCACGTGTTTGATACCTTTAACTTTTATTGTTTGAAATTACATTCATTTTGGTATAAATGTTTGCTGAATTTATTCTTTTTATGTTTTGATTTCATGGTCTTGGTTTCAAATCAAATTTATAGTTTGATCATTCATTTAAATTTGTGAAAGTTATCGAATTTCACGTGTTTGTCAACAAATGAACGAAAACAAAACGGGCAGGCACTTTCTGCTACCTACGCTCATGTGTCAAACTTTGAACTCGAGTTGAAAAACTCCACTTTCTTCTCTAGTTGTACAAACAACTAAAATTAACGAAAAATTTCAATCAGAAAAATTGTTTGTAAACAACTGAAAAACGCAGGAAACTTGTTAGTCTCCCCCCCCCCCCCCCCAGAACAATACCGGCCACCCCTGCTACTTCATTCTGGCTACGGGCCTGACGCTGACCTAATTAATAACTCGATAATAATGTTTAAAGACAACCTTGGCTGAAAATGTACAAGTTTATGTTCAAGCTAACTTTTCTATTTATTGAGCAATTTTCAAGAATTTCCAAGAAAATAATTTATCGGAACCAACCAAATTTCTTCGTTCACCGTGGTTCGATCCGTCTGTTCGATTAGGAACCTCGGTCAAGTTTCATTTAAAAGATAATTAGCCAGAATAACTGCAGCTATTCTTACAACAAATAGTAGTTTGTATGACACTTTAGCTTTTCACTTCTCCATCAATAGTTTAGCTTCTTCGTTAACGGTTCAGAGGGTAAAAGCGACACGTTACACAATACCAACCACGTGCGAGGGGACGGACGTGGTCCGTACCTATTATTAAATGGGTGTTTGAATAAAAAATTATGCATCATTCTGTTTAATAAAAAAAATGTAGCACTATTGTTACCTTAACTTGGAAAAACCTAAGCGAAATTTAAGTTAAAGTAAAGCCGATATCGACTTCCAATACTACACGAAAAAAAAAACACTAAAATAGTGTTAAGCGTTTAAATTTCATGACTTTCTCGGATGATCTACTTAAATAATTAAAAACCTTCGCCTACTGTAAAATTTATACGAATTTCTGTTGCTTTAAGACTAGGAAGCAGAAACTTAATACGAAATGTGCATTTAGAGGGTTTTTTGGCCAAGCGATATTTGAGAACGTGCGAGGAAAAGGGCAATTTCAAAATACAACATGGGGTTTCCATGTTTCAACCACAACAAAGCGCTTTCTGCACACTTCAGGATGTAGGGAAACCTATACTAAACGTTCAACTTACATTTTTTCGCGAAAATATTCCAAGAAGCAAACAAGCAAATCGGCGCACAAACAAAACAACCAAAACAAAAGTCGAAATAAAAATTATTCCCAATTTCTCGCTTTTCTGTCAGCTGCAAGACGCCATATCCATGGGCACCAGCGTCGCGACGAAAAATAATCAATAAGGGACGATAGGGAAAGTGAGACGCGTTGCTCGGCAACCGCTCAGTACCCCCATCTCACGCAACAATTGATACATACTTCGCGTTTTTTTTTTGCAGCTGCATTTCGATTGCGCTTTAATTGTTTTACTTACATTCTAAAGAGAAAAAAACAAAGAAGTTATACCTTGTCTTCCGCTTCTTCCGCTCGACCCTCCGCTTCCAAAACCCTTTGCTCCAACTCGGAGAGCTGTAAACAAAAACAAACCGTTAGTATTAAATTTATTTGCGCCGCAAGTTTAAATGTTTTCACGTGCTACTGGCGGCGCCACCTAGGGGTGCGCGCGCCAAACACGCCGAAACTAAGTGCAGAAATCAATAATCGTGTAACATGTGTTGCATAACACTCGGGGGTTTATTCTGGCCGCGTTCAGTGATTAACCTTGGGTACAAGAAAATATGAAATTGTGTTATCGACGCAGTAAATGGTTTTCAATTTAAATTTATAATTTTCCTATTTCTGTGGTATAAATTATTCATTATTTTAAAATATCTGATCCAGTTCATGCGCATATAAATGCAAAATTACAATTTTACATAAGCAAGCTTCTTCAAGATAGTATGCAATGTTCCATGACCTAATTTTGCCAGCTGGCAAGTGGAATAGGAAAATAATACAAAGAAGATTGATTAAAATAATGGGAATCTACAATATATGGGCCGATGTGAAACAAGTTTGCCTTAATGCCGAAAGTACAAAAGATTCATCGTAATTGGTATTAAATAAGGATCTCCGAAATATTCGTACACGATTCGTAACCGGAACCTTCACACTACAAAAATTCGCTTCCATATCATTTAAAAAAACGCCATAAAAATTCACCTCGCCAAAATCGTCTGCCAGGAAACTCGATCCCTAATGAAAATGACCTCAAAAACCCACCCTTCGACTAACTTCTCTGAATTCCTTTATACCAAGCAGTATTACTCCGAAAATATTCATCCGAAACAAGATGAACTATACAGTGTGTCCAAGATAAGAATGAACAGCATCGAAGATCCTAAGAGATGCACAGTTGGTTACAACAAAGTTCCGTATTTTAGGGCTCAGTAAAATGATGTTTTAAAAATTGGGAAATTCCGATCCCTTTCCAAGATATTAGAAAAAAACCTTAACCATATTCGTTTTTAGTTTTTTCTGACTTTGTTTGAAAAAGTATCAAAAAACAAATCTCGCTTCCACATAGTAACTTTTTAAGCTCTACAAGATGGCGCGCACAGACTTTCAGTGCGACGACGTTTCGTCTTTGAGAAAAGAGAGAGAATTTTATTGTTCTCCTGTACTTTTGGCCACGTCCTGCATTTTGTTAATCTCATTTTCTGTCACATGCTCAATTTTCCTCATTGCAAAGTTGAAAAAAAACCATTTTTTTGTTCTTGTTTTTGTTATCACGTCTTTTTGTTCATCTTGTTTCCTGTCACATGTTCCCTATTGTCCCTGCTCAAGTGTCCTTTTTTCCGCATTTCAATGAAAATTGAATAACAGAGCCATTTTTAGTGTTTTCTTGTTTTTTCGTCACGTCCCACACTTTGTACATCTCGTTTTCTGTCACATCTTGTTTCCTAGGCCCATGCCATGTTTTAATTTTTTTCTATATTTCAATCAAACTTTTCTTGTTCTTTCATACTGTTTGTCACGTCCCTCAATTTGTTCATCTCATTTTCTCTTACATTGTGTTTTCCATTGCCAATGTCATGTGTTCCTTGTTCTTCCATGTGCCATCTTCCATGTGCTCTTTTCCACGTGCACTCTTCCATGTGCACTCTTCCGTGCGCACTGTTTCTTATGCATTTTGTTTTCCAATGCACATGCCCTGTATTCATTTTTTTCTCATTTCAATCAATCATGAAAAAAGAAGCGCTATTTTTATTGTTCCTTGTACTTTTTATCACGTACCTCATCTGTTCATCTCGTTTTCTAACGCAGTTTGTTTCCCATTCTTCATGCTCATGTGTTCATTTGTTCCTCATTTCAATCAAAATTGAAAAAAGCGATATATTTTATTTTTCTCTTGTACTTTTTATAACCTCCTTAACTTTGTTCATCTCGTTTCCTGTCATATTTTGTTTCCCAATTGCCATGCTATGTGCCCTATAGTTTTGAATTTGTCTTTTGGAACATTTACATATGTACCGCTTCATAGTGAATTTGAACAAAGATATGTCTAGCGATAACAAGAAACGTATAGCGCGGTTGCCACGATCTCTTCGAACTTCCATTCTATTTAAAGTCGAGCACGCGATAAAAATGCAGGTTTAATATTCGTTTATAAGGTGTGCTAGTCGAGATCGTTGCGTTCACAAAATAGGTCTACTGAGACAGAGCTGGGTCGAGCGTTCTAAAAAACCGCTCGAGCGACGAGCACTCGAGCGCTGAGGAGCGGAAGAAGCGCTCATGGGCGGAAAAACCGCTCGTGGGCAGAAAAAAGTGCTTTAAGTAAACGCTCGAGTATCGAGCACCAAGCGGCCGCTCTGAATAGTGCTCGCGCTCGCAAGCGATTTTTCGAGCGAGACGCTCGCGAGCAGTACCCAGCTCTGTCACGGGAGAGATTTAAATAGGTAAGCAGTGAGGAGCGCGGACATTCTAAGCTATTTTTCGCGAGCGGTCACGTACTACGTGAGGTACGTTAAAATTGGTTTCCTAGTGAAGTTAGGAGCGTAAGTCCATACGGAATCTTTATTCTTGGTTTATTTCGGGTAAATACAAAAGGTTTTCGTTTAACTTCAGGGGCGAAATATTGGTGTGTACAAAATGGATTCACGGTCGCATTTTTTTACCACGTATGTGTCAAGATTCGCGATTTCAAGAACCAGAACGCGCATTTATCGAGTGAAATCTCTCCGAATTGTAGCAAAGAATTAGCAGTTTAACTTCAGGTAATTTACGAGCGGTAAAATATGTGAAGGAACATTTTCGAATCGGAGAAGTGCTTTTCAAATATAAAATGCGATTAAATAAACAACCATTAAACTCATTGTGATAAACAATCGGATCGCTAACCGTAACGGCTGGTTAAAAGCAAGAAGATTTAAGAAAGTGCGAAGCAAGAATAAAACAAGAGAGAAGATGAGCAAGCAGTAGTACAACAAATGAAAATTCAAGAAAACAGAAGTTAATAACAGGGACGAAGAAAATTTAAGTAAATTGATTGAACGTTTAAAACAAATTTAAACCAAAATTGAAAAAGATAAAAGAAAAGAAGCAATTTAGTCAACCTATTGTTTTGAAGAGTTGGAAGGGGGTGCGAGAGCAAGCTAAAGAAATTAATAATTGGCAGGAAAGAGTAGAAGAGTTAGAAGAGCATTTAGCCAACGCACAAACATTACATTTGAAAAAAAAGTGAATTACCATTGTAGAGAAGAATAATTTGAAGAATCAAGAAGAGTCAACTTTACTACAAATATGAATAGACAATTAGAAGAGGAACTAAAGAATAAAGAAGATGAATTGAAGTTGAAAGAAGAGAACATTCGGAAGAAGCTAGAAATAGAAGGAGAAGTTAGAATAAGATTTTAAATTGCAGGAAAGGGAGAAGCGATTAGCGTTGACTAGAGGAAGAATCGAAGACGATTATGAAGAAAATTGGGAATAGTTTCAAGAAAGAGGTACAAGTTAAAGAAATAAGAAGAAAGTTTGGAAATTCAAAAGAGGAAGAAAAAGAAGCAATACCTTACTTCTCCAATTTCAATGTAAATGAAGTTAAAAGAAGTTTCGAAAAGAAGTGAAGTGATAAGTGATATAGTTCAAAAGTTTAGTAGAGTAAAAGTACCTAACTAAGCCGTTATTTATACTAATTTTATAGTAAAGTGCTGCAGATCATAAACTACTTATGACACTACATAAACTTGACCCATACTGTAACTCTTGAGTACTTAAAAAGTAAGGCTTATATTTATCTTTAGAGAAAATTACTTGAGTTCGAGAACAAAATAAAACAGGCAATTTATAATGCGCTTACAGCAGATAGACCCCCCAAAACGAGTAGAGTTTATTTTTTATATATTTCTATAAATCAAGAGACGGTGAATATTACCAAAAAATACAGCGGAGATATAGGCCCATAATCCATGAAAAATTTTCTACATTTAGATAAAGCTTTTTATTGTAAATTCTCTCGTAGAAGGTTTAGACAGCAATAATGGATGTACGGGGCCGGAAAAGCCGATGGACTTTAAAGTTTAACTCTATTTTAACAATTTATAAAGGATTATAAAGGTTCTGCGGAGGTATTCTATACCTAATAAAGAAAGGGACATAAAAATAGTGTTTATCGCCGTCAGAAATTCAATTACAGTATCTTCACAGAAAAATCTACTTGTTGAATATAGCGGAGGTACAAGGAATATAAGCAAATACAAACTGAATAAATTTATGGAGCTTTTGTTGAACGTTGATGTTATTCAAAATCTCGTTTTACAACGATGTTTATACGACCAAGCTCACGTGAAATGAAATTCTGTCGGTCGCCCTAAGGGCGTGGAGAAATGAAATCATGCTTGTGTTTTTGTAAGAATAACGCATGCATTATGTATTACGTTAGTTTCCTCTAAACAAACCTTAAAAGGTAGCGGAAGCGTTTTCTGTAAGGTTTAAAATCTCCACGAAAATTTCCGATGTTTGATGAGCGTCGTCGATTACTTCTTAATAAAGTGAATAAATCATCAGGCACGGATAGGGGAGAAATTGATTTATTATTAAACAGTTGCTTCGCAAAGTGTTTGTGTTACGGGAAAAGCAAACTTTAATGTATTGTTGTTCAACGGAGATTATTTACAAACTTGCAGTCAAATAACCCCCCAAACCGTCTATTCCTCTTCATGCACTTACATTTGGATATTCTGCGTTATACTATGAATGTTAAAATGATGGCGGAAATTACATGGAGAAAGTTGCAGTTTATTTAAAAAAATAAGTCAACTTGTGCCTTCTATTTGTACTGAACTTCGTTGTAGGTACTATAAGGCTATTTAGACTTCAAGAGTCTATTTTCAAGAAAATGGAATATGAACACGTGAGAAGGTAGTATTGAAACAGGTAAATGTGAAAAGACGTGTGCAGTTTGCGTACAATTAATTTTCGGTTATTCGCATTCGAATACGTTTCTGGTAAACAGTAACAGTAGTAATTACTAGACACCAATTTTTTTGCGAATCTGATTTGATTTCTTACCCGAAATCTTCGTTTGTCGTAACGCCACTTTTTTTATATATTAGAGTACCGCT